TCTGTTTGGTAGCAGGTCATGAAGAAAGCATAATTGTCTCAGTTATGTTTTTGAGCTTTGAGCATAATTAAGACAGGTGGAGTGGGTGAGTGTGAGAAATGTAAATTTTAAAAATACACATCAGACCTCACTAAAATTTTTGAACATGCATTTCCAGCAAAGCAGCACAAGCTGCTTTATGAGGTGTTAATCTGTATGTTCATGATACATAGGCAGTATGCATATCTGTGTTTTTCAGCAGCAAATCTGTTTTAAAAATGTAGAATTCTACGTAAATGCAAAGTCTCAAGCATTGGAGAGTACATTAGTACTAATAACCAGTCAAATAAAAACAATATCATCACTTGTACTGTGTGTTCTGTGGTACTACCCAAAGCTGGTGAGATCAATAAGCTGTGGGAGATGTTGTATACAGGAAACAAGGGTGCTTGCTGTGCCACCAGCCATTGACAGTTACTAAGTAAATTCCATTATATTGCAACAGATTGTGTTCTCAGTGATACAGCTACAAAATACTGAAGCTATTTTTATTTTACAAAGCTGTAGAACGTACAGATTTCTTTTGAATACTTTCACCGTTTCTGTATAAAGGACAATTTACGTTTAGAGATGGTGCTTTCTATTCTACATGGCTCAAGAGTTAACTCTGTCTATAAGTACCATGATTGATTTATCAATTTTAATTTCATATGCAATTTAGTTTTAAACCACACTGGAAATATGAATAAAGCAAAGACTTTTGAATTTATTATCTATGGAAGTGAATGTGGAAATGTCACTGTGTATAATTGTCAAAATAATAAGACTTATTCTTCTTAATATTCTTGGTATTTAGTAAGTAGGTTGAATAATGTGGGTGTTGGGCTAAGGATTCATTTTACTGTAGGTGTCTATGACTTGTTGGTAATAAATTTAGTGATAAATGAACAGCATGCACTCATTTGTTTTCAAAATAGTACATATATATATATTTGAAGTAGTTAAATGTGTTTACAGAAATTCCTTACACTATAGAGATCATAGTTATATCCTAAACTCTGTATAGTTCTCTTCTTCTTGTCAAAAGTCCACTTTGGCCTATTCAATTGCTTTAGAATTTCAGTTGAAAAGCCAAACTACTTTTCTCTCTTTCTATCTCACTAGTATTCCGTGTATAATTTGCTTATAATTATAGCGTGAGTTACCACAGTTGTGTACTGCTCTTCCTTTAATCGTCTAGTCCTCATACTTCAGATATCGTCTGTTCCTTTTGTCAAAGTGCACTCAAGCTGGTTCAGTTACTTTAGGACTCGCTTTGAAGGAATAAACTATACTTCTTATCTCTTTTAAAACTGTTAGTTTCCTCTAACATATTAATCATTAGGCCTTTCACTCCTACAGCAGTTAACTTTAATTCCTGTGACTTTACTTTCTCATCTGCTCTGTCTGCCTGCTGTTCCCTCTCATCTCACACTATTTATATATTTATCACTTTATCGTCTGCTCACCTTCCAGAAATCTATATATCCCCGACATCAATAAATTTCATGCAACATTTGATAGTCTCAACATCAGTGCATTATAAAAACAACTTCCAATAATTGTCTGCTTTTAACTCTCTTATTATAAAAAGAAAAAAAGAAACAATCACAAAAAATTAACTCACAAAATAATTAATTAATACTACCTATGCTAAACAGTCTTATATCTGACAATAATATTTGTGATTCTGTTAACACCTCTGTAGCACAAGTGACATGTATTGATGTATGGGGGGGGATGCTAAAAAAAAGACTTATAAGGGGTTGCACTTTAATGATTTTGTCTGAACCCTATGCTTGTAACTTTTTTATATATATATTTTAGTTTCCAGGGTTAGAAAAGGGCTAACTGTAAACTTTTGATAGTGTGGTTTAAATAATTTATTTCATACCTAAAGAAAATAAAAAATGTAGGAAAAAGAGACAAAACAAATAACACCAACTAACAAACTAGAGTGTGAATTTTAAAATTCTTGACTTTACAGGATATCTGCTGAAGTAAGAATCACATTACAGTAGCTTTTCTTTATAAAATATCCTCTGATTACAAACCTTGGGTACTGTGCATATGTGTGTGTTCTAATCCTGTTTCATATATGTGACAATCTTTACTGCCTTCTTACAGTTTTCAGATTGAGGCTGCTCATAGATATTGAGAGCTGATTAAGTAGACTACTGAAGTGAGGAATCATATTTTTTGATAAAAACCATGAATTAGAAAGACCATATAAAAATGCTAATTATAAGCATACCCAGCTAATATTTTTAAAGTGGTTTTTCATCCACCTTTTACTAATGAGAGAATTAATGCTGCCAGGCTTGCACAATGTAAATAAAGAATCTTAAGTTCAGTGTTGTACATGTAAAAGTCAAATGTAAAATAAATTTAGCAAGTAATATTGTAAAGCCTAACATCTGAAACCCTATATAATTTTTCTTTTTAGTTTACACATTATCATAAGGAAAAGAAAGATTATAGCTTTAAAACAAAGTGTTTCATTATCCATGAAAAATAATACCCAAGTGTCAGTAGTTGAATAATTTACAATATCTGTTTAAAGTTTAGGGAGATTTAAACTGTGAATGATATTATCAATTTCTTGATAATCAATCTGTATGAAAGTCAGACCTTTTATGTATTTTGTAACATAATTTCAAAGAAGTAAAAACACCATCTTGTAGTATTTAAGAATTTATTCCCAGTGGAATATCAGTAACTTTATATAGGTTTATAATATTATTTACATTTGTGGCAGTGGAAAGCAAATGTTCAGCAAATGGACAACAAACATTCTTTGTTAAATGTTCTTTAATGTAATGCTTAAGTTAATCTTTTTGTAGTTGGAAATGTGTTAAATATCAACATGAGTAAAACCAAATTATTGTTTGTATTCATTAATTTGTTTATGATATATGATATATATGGTATAAATACTTGGGCCTTTCTATTTAGTGAATCATTGCATTATAGATGAGCATGTTTCTTTAATGAGCTGGCAAAAATCTGTTATATAAGGTTTCATTTGATGCACAGTTTAAAGTAACAGAATTTGTATAAATACATGGGCTTTCCATTTTAATGAATCATTGCATCATAGATAAGCAAGTTTCTTTAATGAAGTGGCAGAAATCTGTTATATAAGGGTTTATTTGATGCACAAATTTTGAAGATACACATACTGTATTAAAAGTTATAGTATGGAAACTGTAACGAGTACAAAATGGTTATTCGGCTGACTTCGTTTTGAGAAAGTTGAAAGTTAGGGTTTTATTCTAGTTCTGTTGTTTTTTTGTTTGTTTTTTCAATTAATGCGAAGATTTTATAAATAAGTTTCTTTGTCTTACCATCTATTTTTTTTTATATTCAAGAGAAGAGAAAATTTAAATATCTTTGTGACCACATGTGTAGATACTTATTTCTATCTTTTTCAGTAATCAAAAAGATAACTGGTTTTAATGATGCCACATATGATACCAACCATTCCAATTTGGGCAGAATAATTATGATTTTTAACTCCATTACATTCATAGTCTTTGAATTCAGGTTTTTTTTCTACATTTTTTTTTGGCATAACATAATCTGGTAAATTTATTATGAGGGTGAAATGAAACAGTGACACTGTTAAGGTCATAGTCATTTAAACATTTGTGCTTCTACAGCTGTACTCAGACTAGACTCGTTTACTTTTGTGGCACTGAATAAAATAACCTATCAGAAATCATATTCTAGTCCATTCAGAAGTTGGGAAAGTTATATTAGTTTCATAAGGAAGATGTAAAAATGAAAAATTAATCTTGCCAAGAATGTGTATGTGAAAAATCATGGGTAAAAGAGTTATAAATCCAGATGCCACCCTTACAACAATGAAATTGAAGATAAATATACAAAGAAAAAGTCACAGATCAGTTTACTACATAAACATAATTATATGTAAAGGTGAAAATAAGAATAAAAATGGACTACAACAGTTACAATAGAAGAAGAAATTGCATCTTGATACAGAACTCTGGAATATTGGGACACAACTCCAAAACCAAAATACCAAAAAAATTACGAACACAGATATAAATAGAACAAAATAACCAGATAAAA